GGAGGCGGGCAGGGGGCGAGGACAACGGCCCTCTTTGGCGGCCGAGCCCCCGCGGGCGGGGCCCTGCGATGACACCGGGGGACGCACTGCGACATGTCGTGACACACTGTGCCAGGCCACAGCATGCCACGCCACGGTATGTGAAGCCGTGGCCACGTCTGGCCACGCTACGCTATGCAACGCCATGCAATGCCACGCAATGTCGTGCCGTGCCATGCCATGCTGCGTGATGGCATCACATGATATGGCATGGTGTGGTGTGAAATTGTGTGACACGGCACACCATACCATACTATGTGATGGCATACCATGCCATGTAATGCCACGCCATGCCTCTTGCTGTCCTGCTGCACTGTGGCCCACTGTGCCATGCCTTAGCAGTGAGCCAGGCTAGTGGCAGCAGCTGGAGCAGAAGTGACAGCCCTGGGTGGCTGCCAGGATTTGCGTGTGACTTCCACCTGTGGGATGCCCACCCCAGTTACTCCCCAGCTGTGTGGTGGGCATGGGGACAAGGAGGTGGAGGATCCTGCATGGGTCTGGCCAAATCAGGGTGGTCCCTGGGCTGTGGGGTTGCCCCCTACCCCCTGGGCTTTCACTCAGGCTTGGAGAGTGCCCAAAAGCAGCCAAAGCAGTAGGATTTTCCCGTCTGTAACCCCCGTGAGAGCAATGAGCTGAGCAATTCAGCCCTGGAAAACCTTTTATTTCCACTTCCATCTCTACAAACACCAGCGTTCCAGATAACAATAAAACACATACAAGTTAAATGCAGCAATAAATAAGGGAGCACAAAAAATAAATATAAAAGCACTGGCCAGACACAATAAGTAAATAAATAAGGATTGGGGTGTCTTGAGCCCATGGGGCCCAGAGCTACTATTTCATCTGAAGTAGATGGTGAGAGGGGTCCCATCCCAGGGGGTTGTACTCAGTACATACAGCCTGAAAACCGGTGACTGCCGGTTGGGTTGGTGTGGGGTCTTCAGCGCCCGCTCAGCTCATAGGTAGCAATGTTCACTTGGTCAGGAGCGTTGGTGATACCCACAGGCTGGCGGGGCTGCAGGGATGTGCAGATGAACCAGCCAGGGAAGGCAGCGGACTCGAAGCGGGTAGTCCCCTCGGCCGGGCTGTCCAGACGGTAGAAGATGAAGCGGGTCAGCTCCACGGTCTCAATATCCCTCCTGACATCAGCTTCCTACAGCCGGTGGGGTGAAACAGGGGTCAGAGTGGAATGGAGCCTCCAGCCCCATGAAGGATGGACTGGCAGGACCCCACGCTCACCTCCAGCTGCAGCACGGGCTTGGCGCCACTCATCACACACGACATATAGAGCTGGTAGCCCTTGATACCCAAGGCCACAGGCACCCGCCCAGCCCCTGGGCTGCCCTGCGATGACCGGGGACGGTACAGAGCGATGTTGAGCTTCACTGCAGAGAGAAGGGACGGGTTAATGGGTGGTTCCAGTGCTGTCGAGTGGCTCCCACGTGGTCCTGGGGTGGGGGACAGGGACATTGGGATGGGATTGTGTCCCCTCACCTTTCCGTCCGGCAGAGGGTCCCTGCAGGTGCAGGGCCACCAGCTGGGTTGGCGACTCCAGCACAAAACACTTGTGGTCAATGTCCAGGATGTCAAAGGACTGGGAGCGGGTGTAGCGGAAGACGGGTGCCCCAGCATAACTGCCCGTTATGTGCTGGAAGGAGATGGGCTCTGTGGGGAGGGAGACAGTCAGGGGGATGCTGATGCTTCCAGGTTCGAGAGCATTCCCCAAGAGCATCCCCCGGCTGGGGCGACACCCCTGACATTACCCCCATACCGAAAAGATCATCCAAGAAGTTGCCAAGGTCACTGTCAGCAAAGTCCTTGTGCGCTGGTTGCTTTAGGAACTTGGTCACAGCAACCACCAGGACAGCAGCCCGGCGAAAGGTCCTGGCAGGGTGTCCCTTGGTCACTGTCACTTGGATGCCTACCCTGGGTGATGTCACCTCCAAGTCCAGTCGGGGTTTCTGGGGAGAAAAGGGAAGGGTGAGTGCCAGGCTTCCCCACCACACGGATCTCACTACTCCCACTGCCCCAGTGTTACCTTCTGCAGGCAGAGGCAGTCGGGGCCATAAAACATCTCCTCATTTAGGCTGAAAGGCAAAGGGAGATGGTGAAGTCAGGGCCACCAGTGCAGGATCATGTCCCCAAAGTCCTCTCTGGCATGGCCATGCTTACCTGCTATTCTCCAGTGTGTCCAAATCAGGGACGAATGCCATCGCCGCCACTGACTGCAGAGTCCTGGGCAGAGACTTGACAGTACCTGGGAAGTGTATGGCACTTGGCTTCGGGCTCCTGCCTGCCCCACTCTCTGAGCCTGGCTCTAGCGTGGCCGGTTTTCAAGAGCCTCTGGAAGGAAGCGCCGTCAGAACGGGATTTCCAGCTGTCGCAATGCCCGGTTTTGCCCAGTTCCTCCTTCTAGACTGGTAGAGCTGTGGGGGTTGGCTGCCCCCAGCAGTGCACTGGGGAGGCTGAGTGTGGGGCAGAGCAGGGGATGCTCCAGAATTGGAGTGTGGGGCAGAGTGAGGGGATACTTTGGAGCTGGGGTGTGGGGCAGAGCATGAGGATGCTCCAAGGCCAGTGTGTGGGGCAGAGGGCAGAGAGGATGTTTGGGATCGATGTGTGGGACCAGTGACCGTGTGCCAGCCCCAGCCCCAGTCCCAGCCCCGCCCAGCAGGGCTGTGATGACACCCACCCTTGTCAAGGTCGTGACCTGCAGCCGCCCCAGAAAGGGCTGTGGCGCAAATGCTGCCACTCCACCATTTCCCCACGGCTTCCTCCTTCGCTGCGCAGACCCAAGCACTGCAGCCAGCTGTGCTCCCTCTGTCCCCTCTCCTGTCTGTCCCCACTATCCTAATACCAGACGGCACAGGGCCCTGCTGTCCCCTGGTCCCTTGTGTCCACCCATGCCACCTCTGGGACATGGCCATCAGGGACGTGGTCTTTGGGGACACTCCTCATCCCCACGTCCATCCGGCATGCCGGAGGTTGCGCCACACTGGCAGGGCCGGGGATGTGCGTGGCCAGGCTTGCACGACTGTGGGCTGCCAGGGTGTTTTCCTGGCACCTGTTTCACTTCCCCGAAGTGCCACCCTGCCCCTGCCCCTGGGCTCAGGACCAGTGACACCATGACTCACCGGCAGGAAACTGCCAGAACCCCAGAGCTCCCCCGGCACTTCCTTTGACCCTCTGAGCCCCCACTGGTTGTCACCCACGCTGGGATATCCCCAAAGGCCTGAGGTCTCCCAGGGCAAGGGGAACTCCACGCCACGGTGGAGGTCCTCAGGCCATGACAGGGGCACCCAGGCCATGGTTGAGACCCTCAAGGCGCAGTGAGGGTTGCGGGTCACGGTAGGTGTCCCAGGCTGTACTGGGGAGCCCTCGGCCATGGCGACTGTCCACGGCCGACGCCAGTACCCCGCCCCCATCCCAGGGGTCACCTCGCGCGCCGGGCGGCGCAGGCGCATTGGGACGAGGCGGAGGGGCGTGGTCAGGGCGAGGGGTGGGGCGACGCTGTGACGCACGGGCGGGGGGGTGGGACCACGGTGGTCGGGGCCGCTGTCACAGCTGGGGCTGCGAGGCGGGGCGACGAACGCGCCGGTGGGTCCTGCGTCGGGGCCGGGCGGCGGGGCTGGGCGGTGGGGGCGGGCGGTGGGGCCAGGGCTGGAGCAGGGCGGGGGGCGCGCGGGGCGGACGGCCCGCGCCCTGTGTCCTTGGCGTGCCGCCCGGGCGCCTGTTGGGGGGGCACTGCCGAGACGGACAGCCTGGCGGCCAATGGGAAGGCGGCTCGGCGGCTCGCCGCTCCTATAGGCGGCGAGGAGCGGGCGATGATTGGCGGCGTGGGGTGGAGGCGGGCCCAGACGGTGGCGGCGGACGGTGATTGGCGGGCGCGGGGAGGGGGCGGGTTACCGCCCTCGCGGGCCGGGCGGGGGTCGCGCGGCCCCTTCCCGCGCCCGCCGCACGCGGGGCCCTGCGGGGCGCCTCGTCTCGCCGCCCGACCCCCACCGTTCCGCCCGTCCGAGCCCGCGGGGCCTCCTGGGCGCCTGGGACTCTGGTGGGCCGGGGTCGGCCGTGCAGCTCGCATAGGAACGCGCCGGCCCCGCCCGCCCCAGGGCCTTGGGCTACCGCGGTCCCGAAGGTGCCCACTGCTGGAGCAGCTGTGGCTGCAGCCTTTAGCCCTGGACCTCTGGCCTCCTGGAAAGCGGAATTTGTGCTGTTTTTAACCCAAAAAGTATTCCCTAATCCCAAGCCTTTCCCAACTATCCCTCGTCTGTGGTGGCGTCCCCATCCCTGCTGCCGGGGTCAGATTTAGCACCTTAATCTGCTTATTGGCGCGCTCTGGGCCGTCATCTGTTATGGGTATTCCTGGGATTTGACCTTTTGGTGAGGTTTGGGCTGAGACTGGCTGCCCTCCTGCACCTTCCTCAGCCGTCACTCCGTGGGTGACCTTTGTATTCCTGGGTGACCCTGATATCCCATATCTCAGATTTTTATTTTTTTGCCCCTTCCTTCTGGTTGTCGTGCTCTATTTTGATCCACCTCAGAATCATCTCTGCTCTGAGCTTGCCCTGTCTCCCGCTGGGCTCCCAGCCAGCATTTCCTGCAAGAGGCCCTCAAATACCAGCTGGTTCCGCTCATTTGGGGTCAAATGCCCTGGCATTAACTTCCCTGTTTTCCAGAGAGGTCACAGAATGCTGCTGTGGCAGCACCGAAACTGGATGCTAAACTGGAGTCTCTGCTGCTGCTTCCAAGCTTTTTCTGTGCTGTGTGCGTGCCAGTCCTCTGGCACCTGATTCAGTTGGCTCTCTGAAATATCACGGAATCATGGAACGCTTTGAGTGGGAAGGGACCTTAAAGACCATCCAGTTCCACCCCTCTACCATGGGCAGGGACACCTTCCTATAGAACAGGTTGCTCCAAGCCCTGTCGAACCTGGCCCTGGACACTTCCAGGGATGGGGCAGCCACAGCTTCTCTGCGCAACCTGTGCCAGGGCCTCCCCACCCTCACAGGAAAGAATTCCTTCCCAGTATCCCACCTAACCCTGCCCTCTGGCAGTGGGAAGCCATTCCCCCTTGTCCTGTCACTCCAGGCTCTTGTCCAAAGTCTCTCTTGGAGCCTCTTTAGGCACTAGAAGGGGCTCTAAGGTCTCCCTAGAGTCTTCTTTTCTCTTCTCCTGGTTGGACACCATCAACTTTCTGAGTCTTTCAAATACCCATGTGTGTTTTGCTGTATAAATCTGAGGGAGGGTGATCCGAAAGAACTCCCAGTGGTGCTGCACTTGCTGTCCCACACCTACCAGCCTTTCTTGGCAGGGTGGAAAGGATGAGTGGTTCCCTTTTTCCCTTGCGTAAATCTGTCAAATGCTGGCTGAATTCGAGTGATTCTGTGTCTTTCTTACGCTCTTTGAACTTGTCTTCCTCTTGCTCTTTGAATAAAAACCTTGTGGTTTGTGATGGGAAGTGTAGCCACTGCCATGCCAAGCAGCCAGGACTAGATTCAGCCAAGCAAACCTGGAAGGCTGGCTGACAAAATGCTGGCTGTGAAGGTGTGTTGTTTTCTTCAGTCCCTTGTGAAACTTCATTTTAATCTGGTGAATGCATGATAACTGCTTTGACATTGGGCTGCTGCTTGTTAAACTGGTCAGGAATATGGAAACCAGCCAGCTGGGTCACCTCCAGCCCCGGGTCCTGCCTCTTGAGGGAGGAGCTGAGTGAAAAGGGCAGCTCCAAGAAGAGCTGCTCCAAATGCCAGCACTTCTCTCAAGATGATCCTGCTCCAACGCTTTCTTTTGGGCTGCAGTGGTCGGTCAGATGTGTGTAACCCCATGGCTGACCCTGTGGCCAACCCCCTGGCTAACCCCAAGCTTCCCCGTCCATGCCCCACCAAGAGCTGCAAAGTGGGACCTTTGAGAAGTTCCACACCTGCTCCACATCACTTTTTTGGATTGTCCGGGTCTTTCAGCTTCATTGGCATTCTTGGGTCTGGGCTTTTGAGAAGAAGCAGTCTGTCCTGGAGCCCACTTCCCAAGTGCTTTGCACCACTGTACCCCTGTTTTGCAAGAGGTCTTCCCTGTAAACGGTTTCTTTCCAACTTTATCCTGATGCATTTCACAACAAACCATCAAGAAAACCTCAGCCAGCAGAGTGGTCACAGAAATTGAAGCCCAGACCTTGTACCTGGGAGAGAGAGTGATGGAAGAAGCTCCCCTGCTGGATGATGAGGTTGTCCCCCTGTGAAATGTGCTGCCCTGGAGACACACACCCCATGAGGCTCCAGCAGATATGAAGGAAAATGTTCAGTGTTAAAATCCAGCTGATAACACATACTTTTGCAGCACCCTTCAGTACTTAAAGGTGCTTTGCTTTAAAATCCTACAACTTCCATCTGCCTGGGAGGTTGAATGGCCAAAGTGTCCCACTCCTACTGGAATTGGAGTTACAGAGGATTTTCCTGTTTAAAACAAATGTAAAGAGGATTCTCAGAGGAAGAATTAAAAAACCAAAAGAAATCCAAGGATATTTTACGGATTTATTTTTGGAAAAGGGGTAGATGATGCTGGATGGAGCTGAAGAGGGAAGTGCTGGGGGAACCGATACCTTACGTTGTTAATATGGGCTGTTTCACCCCAGACATCCCTTGTTTTGTACGAAGATGCCGAAATCAAGAAATGTGGATGGCTTTGATATGCAGTGGCTCGCTCGAGGCTGGAGTTGGGTACCCGCCAAGCAAATCTGCTTCTCACTGTCACAACAGGGGAGGTGACAGTGCCATGCTGCCAGGGGTGGGGGAGGCAGACCCAGCCATGCTGAGCATCCCGATCAAAAGCTGTGTTTCTGAGCCATCAGGGACTCAGCCGTGGGATGGGTGGATGGATTAATCCAAACTAAAAACATCCTAAGCTCAGTTGTCTGTGCTTGGAGTAATTCCTAACTCACTTTTCTGTTCTCTCTCTGCCCAACAGGAACTTGTGTGAGGCAACGGGACAACTATGCTTAACTTAAGGACTTGTGCGGCAAAGCTGAGGCCCTTGACGGCCTCACAGACTGTAAAGACAATTTCCCAACACAAACCGGCAGCACCCAGGACGTTCCAACAGCTCAGGTGCTACAGTGCACCGGTGGCTGCCGAGCCGTTTCTGAGTGGGACTAGTTCAAACTATGTGGAGGAAATGTATTATGCTTGGCTGGAAAATCCCAAAAGTGTACATAAGGTAAGGAGCAACCTTGCCAGGATGTCACTTTTGCTTCTCTGTGTGTCTGAGCAGTGGTGCAGGTAAGTGCCTGCCTCCCGAGGAGGATCGAATTCAGCCATAGGGGCCAGATGATTGTGGACAGTCCTTCTGCCTCGCTTTGCCCCAAAGAAACGGCAGTGATTCCTTGAGCAAGAGCCAAGAGGAGCTTTTCTTTTCGAGAGGGAACACCGTGGGCTTGGGACACGGGCAGCATCCTGGATCACAAGCGGATACAAGGAATGGCTTCTCCTGGGAATCCACCCGTAATAAGCTCCTGAAGCTGTATTTTTTCCATCTCTGATGGCTCACGAGAGGGTTTATTCCAGAGTGAAGAATACGGAAGCGGGGCAGGGAGGGTGTTCTCCACATCCTGACTGGTTTCCTTTTTGCGTCAGGCACGGGTGGTGTTCAGTATTGGGGCAGATGTACTGTAGCTAAGCTTGACTTTGAGCTGGTGCGTAAAGCCAGACCTGTGATCTACAGCCTGGGGAGGAGGACAGGGTCTGGTGGCCAGAGGGATTCCCACAGCTACTCCTGAACTTAAAACTGGGAAAAAAACCCCAGCCGTGGGCATTATGTGCAGAGGCCTGTCCTGATCTGAATCCGTAAAGCTTCTCCAGCAAGACTGAGCTCATCAGGTGAGGGCTCAGCTGGGAAGAGGGGTTCTGAAACCTGACAGCATTGTTCCCCATCCCCAGTGTGTCACAAGGAAGATGTTCCTCCAGTGACTAAGTCTCAGCATTACCCAGGGGATTTTCTGGGTTGTTTTGAACATGTCCTGGTGTGGAACAAGAATTTTCTTTCTTCAGTAGCACATGAGCCATGTGCAGACCAGGATACAATGGGTAAATGAGCAGTAGGGTATAAGGAATCCCATGCTCCAGCGCTTGCGGCAGCATTGATTTGTTTTCAATGGCACTGATCTCACCTTCAGAATGCAGGTGCTGAAAAGGTCTTAAGGTAGGATCAAAGCTGGATTTTCACAAAAAATGTTGACTTTAGGCTTCTTTGGAGGCAAATGGGTGTCTGAGCCAAACAGTAAAGACTCAGAAATCACAAAACATCTTCATTTGGGTTGTGCCCTTTGCCAAATAGTGACTTGAAAGCTGCCCAAGCACATGGTATAACCCCTCCTTCAGAGGTGGGATATTGAGTTAAAAGCCACGAACTTAAATGCCGTAGCCTGATTTAAAAACGAGTGAGGGTAACACCACCTTGTCCCAGTGACAGGCACGATCCTGTCTTTGTCAAAGAGTCATCATGGTGTGATACTAACACTGATTCCAGACCCACGCTCAAAAGTCACTCTGAGCAGATGTTTGAGTAAACATCAGGACTGACTGGGGCAGCTGGCTGGGAAGGGAGTTTGGGTCCCAAGGCCAGACCTCTGGTTTACTTCTGGTCTTGTAAATGTGGCTGATTATCCTTGTCAGCCCATCAGTAGGTAGGCAGGGCATGCACACGCGGTTGAAGAAGTTGGAGGAGAATTTAATTTGGAAGGAGCCTCTGCCCCAGCATCCAGCTTGGAAGTGGCCTCTATATTGCAGATTACGTCCAGCTTCATGTCTAGGCCAGGTCACTCCGGGCCTCGTGCAGTCAGGTTTTGAGTCCCTACAAGGGTGGTGCTCTCACCACCTCTCCAGGCCCCCAGTCCAGTGTTTATGGTGAAGAATTTGCAATTGTTTGATTTCCGAGTGACTGATCCCTGGAAAATCAATGTCCCTAGAATTACTTCCAGCGTAGTACTGTACTTCCAGAACAGTGCAGGAATTGATATAGGATTTTTTATTCCAGCATGTCTGGAACTGGTTTGGCATCAGGAAAATCAACATGTGAAATAAAATGCCAGGAAGCAAACTTGAGACCTGTGATGGAAAAAGCAAGTCTTAGGGACTTTTTTTCCATCAAAGGAAACCAAACTGGAGTCCTGCTTGGCAGAAAGGGATTGGAGCAGGGAGATGAGACTAGATAATCTTTTGAGTGTCCCTTCCTACCTAAACCATTCTGTGGTCCTATGAAATCCAGCTCCAGTCCCAAAACTTCTGGTGGGGTTGGTACCTGAGTCGGTGTGGACTTTGCTGTTGCTTCCTGGTACACTTGGCCTCCTTCTGGACTTGTCTCTTGGGTGGACCCCACCTCATTCCAGTGACCCCTTTACCAAGGTCCCTTCCCAGCTGCTCTCTGTACTCCTTTGTCCTTCTGCACTTTTTCATGGCTCCTCCATCCTTGCTGGGTTGCTAAGCTGCTGGGCATGGGCTGGGCTTGTCTCTGGTTTTGCTCGCTCACAGTCCCTATCAACTGGTGTCCCCTCTGGGGAGGCATGTGCCACCCCTTTCCCTGATAAGTGTTGGCCTCCATCCTGCCAGACGGAGGGGCAGATCCCGGGGTGGAGCTCTTGGAAGGAGCCAGGCTGTCACAGGGACCCGACTGAGGCTTATCTGTCCCTGCACAGAGCAGAGACCGGCTTCTGCTTGCCATGCTGCATCCTGCTGGGGAGGGACACCTTCATCTGGGAAGAGCTGGGGTGTCTTTGCTGTTGTCAGCAAAAACTTCTGAGGCTTTCAGCTGACGTGATGGTCCCAGCAGAGCATGGTGAATCCACTTCCTCTGTGCAGACACCAGGGGTTTAAACTGCAGAACAAGCCTCAGTGCTTGTTTAAAACAGGGAAGGTAAAAAAAAAACGATTATTTTAGGAGATTTTCTGTGTGCAGTCCTTCAACTCCAGTTTCCAAGTCTGATGAGCAGAGTTGGATTATAGTAACAGTAGAATAATAAAAATATGAGCAGGGCTGGAGAAAGAGGATATGAGGACACGGGAGATGGGTGCTGGTGGGCTGCCACAGGGTCAGTGCTGCCTGCTCCTGGACTGTGTCCCCAGGGAGTGGGGATACCCTTCTTCTGCCCCCCATTTGGCCAGCTTGGGTTCTTGGCACAGCCTAGCCTGCACCGTCTCCCTGGTACCCTGAGCAACGTCATGGGTGCTTCAGGAGAGACAACCAGAGAGCTGTGACTGCAGGTGGGTGGTACCTGCATATACCTGGGGCAGGTTCAGCCTCCCTAAGCAGCAGCCCCAAAGTTTGGGTTGAACCATGGGAAAGGAACACAGCTCTCCCCATAGGTCTGTACATCACATGGGCCTTAACATGGACTCCTTAACATGTCAGTGTTTGGGGTTTTAAATTGAAAGGAGTTTGATGACCTGATTGCACTGTGGAACACTGAAGGTCCTTGTTTACGTTGATAAGGGACATGGCGATGTGCAGAGCACAGACCCATCTGTTGCTGCTTGACCGCCTGCTCTTAGCAAAGGTTACCAGCCTTAAATTTGGTTCAGGCTCCTCCTCCTCCAGCTTTAAGTTCTGATGTTTCTCCTCTTCTTTCTGCTGGGCTTGCAGACTGTGCTGAGCAGGGTTGGTGCTTCTGGAGGCTGTGGCAGGGGAACGGGCGGGGAGCAGCCTGAGCGGGAGGTGGAGGCTGTGTGTCCCTCGCGCCTCCCAGCCCGGAGCACCTGCAGCCCTGTCCGTGGTGCTTGCAGCTGGTGGCAGCTCTCTCCCCTTGCCATGTATGCCTGACCTCCAAGCTGGCAGAGACTGGGATGTGGTGGTCTGAGCCTGCACCCTTCTCCAGGAGCTGAGTCTAGCGGAAGGTGCTGGTTTGCCTTGGTGAGCTGGTTTGAGGCTGTTCCCAGCAGAGGAGCCCGCACTGAGATCTGCTCCCGGAGTGGAGCTCAAGATCCTTCTAAAGCCTGAACTATCATGGTGTGTGGCAGACAGCTGGCTCACCTATCCCACTTTGCCAGTGCATGGAGGAGCACCAGGAAACCTGTCCAGGCTAATGCCTTGTACTGCAGCTGTGGGACTGCAAAAATGCAATGAATCTGAGCTCTCTTGTACCCAAAATATATATATATCTCATGCCCTGTATGTGTATGTATCTATACAGGGTATAAGAGCCAGAGGAGCTCTCACAGGGCTGCTGTGGGCACAGAGAATTCAGAGGGAAATAACCCCGTGAGTTTATTATTGCTGTTAACTTTGGCAAGTGCCAGATTAAGGCAAAGTTCTCCTTCCCATGATAAAGCAGGGTAACTGATGGGGCTGTTTAGCCTCTCCCATGGGAGACATGAGCTCCAGAGGCACCTCACATGTGCTCCCCACAAACCTACAGGGTGGCCCTTGGATACTATTGAATTCGAAATCACATCAGCAGGTTGAAAGCTGACATTTTTATAGCACTTATCAAGGCTCCAGCCCTCCCTTTGCCATTCAACCATCATTCTGTAGGGCCATAAAGGATTCAGTGAAAGTACCCGAGCTGACTCAGCCAGTGCCACACCTTGTTTGCAGAGCTTAAAGTGGACTTCTTGTTTCAAAACAGAATCAAATTGCAGCTCTGAGAGGTTGATATTAATGAATGGCAGACGGGAAGAGGTTCATGAAGGAAACACCCCTGGCTCCTTCCCTGTCCTCAGCCCCCTCTTGGGCTGGCAGATGCTCCCTTTCTCTTACCTGTCTTTATTTTCCATTACATTAAAGAACCTTAAACCACCGAGTAAAGCAGCCTGCCAGGTTCCTCCCCATCCCAAGTGCGTGGAGCCTATGCCTGGTGCTTGTCCCTCTGCTCACAGGAGCTGATGTCTTCTAGAGCACCCAGGAGCTCTCTGAGCCTGAGAAAGAGAAGAGCAGGGATGAAACAGAAAGCCACTCTCCCTCTTTTCTCCTTGAAATTTCCTTTAGCAGTTGAAATGGGGTTAGGTGTTTTCTGCCTTTCCTTTTTTTTTTTTTTTTTGCCTTTGGGGGAGTGATTGTTTATCAGTTAGAGTGCCAAAATGTTCCAGATTTTATTTATGTTCTTTCAGCATGACCTGTTTCTAAATTTATTCACCTTGTGCAGTCATGTGATGGAGTGTTTGGGTAAATCGGGGCTGGAAACACCTTCCTGGGGCATGTGATGGACTCTGCAACTGGAGTAGCTCCAGGGATGGCTGAGCTGGGGCTCCTCTGGCAAAGGGGACATTTTCAGTCCTTTTCACCCTGCTTCCAGGGGGACAAAATCTGTCTTTTCTGCCCCAAACAACAGCTGGAGGTTCTTTCAGGGCACTTTTCCACTTAGTTTACACACTCTGGGGATGGCTGGGCAGCGCTTCCCCGTCTCCGATCACCAAGGCTGGATTTGGCACTCTCCAAGGTGCCCACAGCCGGTGGAGAGACTCTTGGGCTAAAACCAGCATGCAAATCCCAGGGGATTTGTTTGCTTTAGCTGGCAACCTGGGTCTGTGCTAGCACACAGCCACTGCTCCACTGTGCCCTTGTCCTTTGCCATCGCTCGGTGGCACATGAGACCGGGGTATGTGACGGGAGGATGTAGCTTGGACTTTGTTTGACTAAGCTCTCCCCTTTCTCAGGTCCATTGCTGCCTCTCCAAGGAGACAAATTAACTTGTGTTTGGCATGGGTCACTTCTGGGTTTTTCAAGCAGTGCTGGAAAAGTATGACAGTTACACCAAATCTGTCAAGGGCTATTTTGGGGGGTTTTGATTTGTTTTCTTAGCACCTAGACATGCCCATCTGCAGAGAAAGCAGGAGCAGAGGTGACAGCTGCCTTGGTCTGGGCACAGGAGAGCTGCGTGGGAGTACCTGCATAGTGCTGGCCTGGGCGTTGCCAAAAGGATGGGGAAAAATTGAAGAGAGGACAGAAAAAGGAACACATTGCTGGTTGAGTGCTGGACAACACAGCTCGTGCTCGGATTTAGGTCTCAGGCCATTCAGACCACGGAAAATAGGAAGAGGTGTATTTGATTATAGGGCAGAAATGTTTTTCAGAAAATACTGGGGTTATTTAGAAGTTAGAAGGCAATGGCTTCCCCTGGGGAGAAGGAAACGAGCTGGAAGTCCAGGCTGGGACTTGTGTCTCTGAGCAGCAGTTCTGAGAGCTGAGGCAGGGGAGGGTGTATCGCTGTGTCCTGTCTTGTGTGCTGCTGTTGAGAGAGGAGGGGCTTTGGGGGCGGCCTCATGGCAAAAGAAACAATCCAGATGGATGGGAAGTGGGATAATGGTGTACCTGGAGTAGTGGGAGAGCTTTAGTGCTCTTCCGTCCAAAGCAGGTGGGTGCCTTCAGCAGTGGCTGCATGGAGCTGAGGTGCAGGGGAGGAGGCAACTCTGCTCCCTGCTTTGGCAACAGAGCTGAGACCTCTGTAGCCTCGAGTGCTTGGGCTGCAGGTGATGACCCTGTTGCCTCTCTTCTTTCCGTTTTTGTAGTCATGGGACATCTTCTTTCGCAACGCCAATGCCGGAGCTGCTCCAGGCACCGCTTACCAAAGCCCCCCTCCACTGAGTACCAGCCTTTCCACCCTGTCCCAAGCCCAGTTCCTGGTTCAGGCACAGCCCAGCGTGGATAAACTGGTGGAGGACCATCTTGCAGTGCAGTCTCTCATCAGGGCATATCAGGTAAGGGGATGTTGTGCTGAGGAGGGTCCTGTCCTCAGTAGAGGGGCCTTTCATGGCTGAGGTTAGGGTTGATGCATGTGTTTTGCATGGAGAGCATGCAGGATGTGGGCTGAGCTGCCTGTTTTGGCATAGGAGCTGCTGATCTGTTTAGGCAGAAGCTTAGCTGATGCTTTGCTGGACAATAGGAAGGTTTAAACTATTGTTATCCAAACGGGGTGGCAGGGAGGGGGAGGTCTTCTTCACAAAAGGTGGTTTGCTGGCCTTTGGAATGTTGCTCCTGTGCCATGGGCTGCCATGCTCAGCAGTGACATGGGACACCCATCCTTCTTCCCTCATGTTGCTGAGAGAACTTCTGAGGTCCTAATATAGAAGCTCAGGAAACATTTCCATGTGATTTGCAACCTGGAAGAGGCCGGTGGTGCTGGTGGGCTGCAGCTCAGACCAAATGCTGCCCAAGTCCATCCTCTGGGAGAAATGAGTTTGAAGCAGGAAGGAAACATCCTCTGGCTGGTGGAAGGCCAGCAAGTATTTTTACTTGGGAGAACATTTAAGCGTGTTTCTACATTTGTGTCATCCTTTCACCTTTGTTTATGCTCTGGTTTGTCAAGTCTGGGGGCTCTAATTGGCTCTGTGGTGAGATGTTAAAGAACCCAGCTGCTGTGCAAGTGAGTTTCTCACCTGTTCCTGTGACAAAGGACTCGCTGTACATTGTGTTCCTGCTCAGGTATGGGGAAAATCCAACATAAAAGGCCGTGAGTTAAGGCAGGAACTGCAGTGCTGGACAAGTCCAAAGGTCTGCCCAGCCTTGGCCCCTGCTCTCTGGCTCCAAGATACTGCCACTACCCTGCCTGCCTCTGCAGCTGCAGTGCCAACGTCAGCACTGGGACCTGTTTGTAAGGACCTGTACGGCTGGTTCCATGGGAGATGACCACCCTGTCAGCTCTGAGGCAGCTCCTGCCAGTAGAGCAAGCGGGCAGACACCAAGTTTGAACACATGGTGATTGATGTAGTTGGAAGCAGAAGCTTCATGTCAGCAATTTGAACACAAAATCCATAACCTCTTCAGTATTCCCATCTCTTCTTCAGGCTCTGAGTGGCAGCGCTGGGAGGTGATGGCTCTTGGATGTATTTTTCTGAGCTGTCTGCAGTGAGAAGTCTGCTTCCCTTTCTGCCCTGGTGTCACAGTAGGGCTGTAGCTGTGGTGACTTATTCAGGTGGGGAGGTTCGGGACAGGATATGGAGGTATGAAAGTGTAGGAAGGTGAAGGAAACCCTACCTGTGATACGTAACCTACTTAAAAGACCACAAAATTAATTTCTTAATTGGATTGAGCTGGTCTGTCCCTATAATTATGGGTGAGCAATGACTACTCTGCTTTGGCATCAGTGATGGCTCCTTAATTGTATTTGTGTTTCCATGCCCAAGTCGTTATTAATTTTGAGTAGTAGAGTGCTTTGGGTTGGAAGGAGCCTTACAGACCATCTAGTTCCAAACCCATGTGCCATGGGCAGGGACACCTTCCACTAGACCTTCCAGGTTGCTCCAAGCCCTGTTGAACCTGGCCTTGAAGACTTCCAGGGATGGGGCAGCCACAGCTTCTTGGACAACCTGTGCCAGTGCCTCACCACCCTCACAGGGAAGAATTTCTTCCCAATATCCCATCTAACCCTGCCCTCTGGCAGTGGGAAGCCATTCCCCCTTGTCCTGTCACTCCAGGCCCTTGTCCAAAGTCTCTCTGCAGCTCTCCTGGAGCCCCTTTAGGCACTAGAAGGGGCTCTAAGGTGTCCCCGGAGCCTTCTCTTCTCCAGGTGAACACCCCCAGCTCTCCCAGCCTGGCTCCAGAGCAGAGGGGCTCCAGCCCACAGAGCATCTTTTTTGTTCCTTTTTTTGGTTTGCATTGCGTGTGGACACTAACAAGCAGCCTGGCTCCTGTGGGGAAAGAGGTGTTCTCTTTGCTGCTCTACCAATTTGAGGACTTTTTGTGTACCTGCAAACTGCTGAGGTGACCTCAAAGCCAATAGGGGTCCCCAGCTCAAAGCTGTTTGCTGGACTAAGTGGCCTCCTGGTCCCAGTGAGAGCATCCTGGCCATGGAGAGCAGCATGGCAACCTTGCGTCCTGCTGACTGCTACGTGATGGTCTCTCCCCTGGGCTTTGCTGCAAGATGGACAAGCAAATCATTTTCAGACACGGCTGGCCCAGAGGAGCTTTCCTGTGGCCACCAGTGCTCAGGGGCACAGTGTCACCTGGCCCTGCAGAGAACAGGGAGGGAACGATGCTTTCTTTACAGTTTGCCTTAGTACTGATGGCTGATTTAAGACTCCTTGGCTGGTAAAACCACAAAAATCACGTGCTAAAATCCCCGTGGGATGCTCTGGAAAGGAATGCCTTCTGGTAAATAATGTCGGATCAGCGTGTCTGGTTTGTACAAGAGGTTTAGCAATTCCCTTGTATCCGAGTGCTTTTCCTAACTGGCAGCGGATTTGATGGCTGTAGTACACTTTCCCAGTGTAAGAAAGGCTCCACGCCCTGTACCACAGCAGTTGTGTTTCCTGCCCCAGTCCCAGCATTGCTGAGCCTGAAGCTGTGGCTCACCAGTCAGTGCTGGCCACCAAGGTGACCTGAGTTAGCTCAGTCAGACATGCTGGGATCCCTCCATGGCTACCTACTCCAGTGGAAGCAAAAATCTGAAACTCCTCATCGCCTCCCATTGTTCTCCATGGCTCCTGATGTGGATTCAGACACAGCATGGAGACTTCTGGCCTGAGTGCTGCCACCAGGAGCTGTCAGGGCTCCACTGGCTGCGAGCTCTTTGATATTTCTGCACCTGCCCCTTCACATGAGAGTTCTGCTGTGGCTCCTCTCTCCAGAGGAATGCTGTGAGTTGCTGCATAGCTGGGCAGATGTTCTTCAGGCACATTCCTTGGCCTTTCAGGAACAACTGCTGCTGGTGGCAGCGCCTGTTTTCTCTACTATATTGACAAGAGAACACCTAAATCTGTCAAAATCTGGAAAATTCATAGAATCCTAGAATGGTTTGGGTTGGAAGGGCTCTTAAAGCTCATCTCATTCTACCCTGCTGCCCCTCTGCCACAGGCAGCGTTCCAGGTTGCTCCAAGGCCCGTCCAACTTGGTCTTGAACACTTCCAGGGATGGGGCAGCCACAGCTTCTCGGGGCAAGCTGCCTCTTCATGTGCCTTTGACACTTAGAAGGAGACCACTGATGTGGAGTTACTGTATCTGTAGAGAGGAGCTGCTCAGGTTGGATACTGGGAAAGTGTCAGAAGACCCTTGGACCCTAATTCTGGAAGGTCTCTGCTGTGAAGGAGTTTGCCATCCCCCCGCCTACCCTCCAAACCTGGCGTCAGGCAGAGCAGAAGAGTCCTGGCAGCTGCTGGCACTCAGCTACTTGCTGTAGGTGACTAAACCCAACTTCTCCAGGCTTCAGCTGGAGCTAGAATTGGGGTGGCTCTGCAGAAAATGTAAAGAGGGAAACTTGTGCATGATGTTTTTTTAACTTTTTTTTTTAATGGAATGTCTCTTCAATTAACATGTTTTAATGACTAATCTGTGTTGTTGCTTCCAGGTCAGGGGTCACCACATTGCAAAGCTTGATCCTCTCGGCATTAGTTGTGTAAATTTTGATGATGCACCAGTAACTGTTTCTCCAAACGTCGGTGAGAATTACTCTGCAAATTAATTCTAATGTAATTTAACTTTTTTACCCCTTCCCTCTTTTGTTTTTCTCTCCCTTTTGGTTCCTGTTCTCCTTTCCATTCCTGGCGCATTTCATAGATTCGAGGGCATCATGTAGCACAACTCGACCCACTGGGCATCTTGGATGCAGATCTGGACTCCTCCCTTCCAGCTGATATTATCACATCCACAGACAAACTGGGTGAGGGCTTTGAGAGCAGTTAGTGCTGCATTGCTTGAGCTCCTCTCTCCTTCACAGCTTCGTAGGTAGATTGCTTCACCGATCAGGGGGGAAGGGTCTGAAGTTTCCTTAGTAATGATCACTAAAATTGTAGCTGCTAGTGGCAGCGGAGCAGTCCTGCCACCCTCTGTCCATCACCCCAGTGCTCGGCTCATGTTTCTTCTCCGACTGGTGCCGTTCAGTGATGTCACTGAACTTGCTATCCCAGGGCTGGAAGCAATTGCATCTTCTGGAAATGCAAAGCACAGAGAGGTTTTGTGTTGGTGAGAGCTGGAGTTCTCTTCTCTTGGCTCCTCTTGCTGCTCTTGGGGACCCTTAGAGCTTGGGGTGAACAGGCTGGGTTCATCTCTGCAGGGCTGAGTGGCTGTCCCTGCCCTCCCTGTGCTCCCAGCTTGCCCCAGCCTCTGTAAATCCCTTAATTGCCCTTTTTCCAAGACTGAGCTATGAGTCCTTGCTGGTGATCATAACAAGGAAGCTTTGGGATGCATTTCCATCTAAGTTGAGAGGTGGAAATCCCAATGCCTTCGAGCGAGTGAAGCCTGAGTGTTGTGCAGAAGTGTGTGTGGTGCTCAGGACTTGAAATCCTAATCTGAAAGTGTTTAAACCCAGCACTGCTCCACGTGCTTTAGAGCTGATCTCTGTAGTTTGCTGCCTTTCCCCTAGACAGGATGAAGCTGCTGAACTCTGTCCCCTTACTGGTGCTTCCCAGGGTGGTTCCCTGGCACTCCGAGTGCTTCAGAGGCATGCTCATGCTCCTAACATAGAGTAGAGCAGCAGTGATGATTACTAACCTCGCCAACCAAAACGGCTGATCATAGAGCACGGTGCATGTAAACCACCTTGATTCCTTATTCAGCTGCCAACACAGGGACACCAGCCCTGGACCTGCTGGACCTTCCAACAGGATTACGTGTACTGGGAGTGGTAGGGAAGGAGTAGGTTTTGGTTGGACCAGTTCACTGGACGATGAAGAAGCTGCTTCATCCCACAGTCTGGACTCTGACATGCTTGTCCAGAGGACCAAGCCCTGGCTGTACTTGAGGAACTGTCCAGATCCAGCTTGGAGCAAGTCCTGTGCCTGAGATATTTTGATGGCAAGAGGTGGGAAGAGGATGGCTGTGAACCCAGGTGTGGGGGAAGACACAAGTGCTTGTAGTCAGCACTGAGGGGGAAACAGGGAGACTTTAGGTGATCTTGAAGCCACTCAGCTGGAAAGAGGAGAGGGTGAGGAAAGGCTTTTCCATCTCAGGGTTTTTGGCCTCTGCTGCAGGCACTATAGTCCTTCTGAAGCAGAGCAGGAGAGGAAAACCCTGAAGCTCTGTGCCTGGCGGATGTGTTCCCTTTTGAGAGTAGAGCAGGGTCTACATGAAACCCAGAGCCAGTCAGCTGCAAGTGGTGGCAGTGACAGCTGTTCCTCGGCAGGAAAGGGAGCTGGGTATGGGGAGCAGAGTTACTGTGCTTCTCAGGAAGTTGTAGACTCACGAAGTGGTCTGGGTTGGAAGGGATCTTCAGAGGTCACCTAGTCCAACCCCCCTGCCATAGACAGGGACACCTTCCACTTGACCAGGTTGCTCAAAGCCTTGTCCAGCTTGGCCTTGAACACTTCCAGGGATGGGGCAGCCACAGCTTCTTGGGCAACCTGTGCCAGGGCCTCACCACCTTCACAGGGAGGGATTCGTTCCTTATGTCCAATCTTACCCTCGCCCCTGGTCCTGGCACTGCAGACCCTGGTGAAAAGTCTCTCAGTGCTGTTCCCGTAAGTACCTTTATACACTGAAAGGTCATAGTAAGATCTCCCGGTGCCTTCTCTCCTCCAGGTGACACCCCCAGCTCTCCCAGCCTGTCTCCATGGCAGAGGGGCTCCAGCCCTTGAAGCATCTCTGCGGCCCCCTCTGGACTTGCTCCAGCAGGTTCACATCTGTCTTGCACTGAGGATCCCAGTGCTGGAGGCAGCACTGCAAGTGGGGTCTCACCTGAGTGGAGCAGAGGGGCAGAAACCCCTCTCCCCACCAGTCACACTTCCAATGCAGCCCAGGACACAGATGGACTTCTGGGCTGCCAGCACACATGGACGGCTTATCTTCAGCCTCTCATCCACCAGCACCTCCCAAGTCCTTCTCTACAGAGCTGCTTTCCATCCATCCATCCGTCCATCCATCCCTCCCCCAGTCAGTGCTGGGACTAGAGCTTGCCCCAACCCTTGCACTCAGCCTTGTTGAACTTCAGGAAGTTCACATGGTCCCTCTTCTCCAGCTTATCCACGTCCCTCTGGATGGTATCCTGTCCTTCCAGTGCATCACCCACAACACTCTGTAGTGTCACCTGCAGCCTGGCTGAGGGTGCCCACCATCCCACTGTTAATGCCATTGGTGGAGGTAATTAAACCTCACTGGTCCCAGTACAGACACTTGAGAGACGCTGCTCCTTACTACTCTCCACTTGGACATCAAACTCACAGGTCTAATTCCATGGGGAAGGTAATTTCAGAGGGAAATCTGCTCAGAGAGCTTTACTTCTGCTGTGACCACTGATTCCTCAAGAGCCAGGTGTGCTCAAACAGTGTCCTGGCTTCAGAGGAAGCCGAACCCAATGTGATCCAAGAGCAGGTCCTCCCTGGCAGCCCCAGCCATGGCACTGGGCTGGCAGCAGTGTCACAACTGTAACAACATCTGGGGAAGCAGAACAGGCTCAGTTTTTCCTGCCTCCCCAGGGTGAGTGGCCACGAGCCAAGCAGTGTGTCCCAGCGTGGCTTGCTGTGGTGGGAAATGTTCAGGTATGGCTGGTCTTAGGCATCAGCTGGAAGGGAACCTCAGCATGGGATCTCTGTGTCTGAGCCAGCCCTTGAGCTTAATCTCTGTTGCTTCGTGGCTTTTGTAGTAGGATACCTGTTATTGTGGTTTCTGGTCTTGATTAAATTCCCAGGAATACGTGAATTCGTAGGAAATAACGAGCCCTGGGAACAAGATGTACTGGTGGCAGCTGCCAGCTCACACCGGGGTTGTGTCCCATGGTAGAATCCCAGACTCAGGTGGCTAGATCTCATCAAAAGGACTTTTTTTTAAACTTGCTATAAGTATTATTTATACTGAGTAGATTTTCCCCTGCTATTCTTATCCTGGAAAATCTCATCTGGTCAATCTTAACTACAGCTGGCAAACATACTTTGCAAAAGGTGCTCAGAAAGAGGGGAAGGAAGTTGTGACAGTGCACACAGTGTGGAGCTCCAGCTGAGCCTAAGGTTGGATGTCATCTGCGTGTGGCAGAGAAAGCCAATTTCTAAGCGGATCCTGCTGGCTTTTTTTGCTTTGAAAGAATACTTCGTAACACTTGACAGAGCAGTTAATAACAGAAGTGGTTTTTTGAAACTTGGAAACAATCTTGTTTCCTCTTTCTGAGCAGAAATCCTTTAAAGGTCAGCTTTTGTGGTGAGAGCTCTGCTGCCAGCAGTTTAAACTGGCAGTGCTGTGATTCAAAGGAGTTGGATGGTTAATCTTGGAAATCGATCTCTCTTCTCAATTGCCTTTTGTTTAGCAACTGGTTTGGTTCTAGTTTGGAAGCTCTCTTTGGATTAAGCAGTGTGAACTTTGGGGAAAATGTCAGGGGGAGAAACCCTCCCAGGGCTACTCAGTCTGAGGAGTGGTCGGCCTGGAGCCACCAAATTCCCCTTTCTCATGTCTTTTCTATTAAAAAAACAAAGTAATCTCCTCCTGGTCTTCTAGTGCAGCTGGTCTGGCATGGTAAGTGTGTAAAACAAGGACAGGATGACTACCAGAACTCAGTGTGACTCATTGAAAGAATTACTACCTTAGCACGCTGAAATCTGGTTGGTATGTGGACAGCTGTGTGTGTCTGTCTGTCTGTCTGCTTCTCTCCCCATGGAGGGCAGCTGCCTCCGCCTCATGCCAAGGGGAATTGATGGAAATCCTCCTCCAGTTCAGGAAGAGCCAGGCAAGCCCCACCAGGGAGCTGGACTGGGAGTGCTCACCTCCCCTTTCCCCACTTTGGGGAAATGTCTGATTTTTTCCCACTGACTCAAAGGAGAAGTGTTTCCAAGGCCTTTCTTGTAACCCAGGGGAGATTGAGGCTCTTGGGTCTCCTAACCTAGCTGGACGGGCAGCTCTGGTGCCGCACGCTTGCCCGCTGCTTTGGCGTGCTGGTGCTCCTGCCCACGCCAAGTGTGCTCCAGAAGAGACAGCTGTGCATGCCTGCCTCACCACCGTCCTCATTAACCACCTGCGTTTTAACACCCCGATCCTCCTCCTCTCTGCAAAGGCAGCGCCACTGCCTCCTTCGAGTGACCTCGAAATCCTCCCAGTAGCAAAAGCAGAGCAAACCCCTCAAACCCTCTGGAGCAGGTGTTGGTGGGAGACAGCTCCCTGCTCTGCAGAGGATCCTGCTCCCCGTGATGCAGCTTGTCAGGATGATGCCTCTTGGTTGTGGCAGGTGAAGACACTGTGATGGGCCATCCCCCTCTCCTGTCAAGATGTGCATGTGAGAGATCTCAAACCATGCAGCTCAACTGCTCCCCAGTGTCTGATGCCCCCCTTCCCCTCCTGCTCCCCCCTCCTCTTGTCAGACTTCCCACTAGGATTTCTTTTCCACCTAGTGTGTAGTCATCCTCCATTCCAGCCCTTTTGCCTCTGATGGGTTTTGACTGTATTTTAAATACTGTATTTTTTTGACTTGTGCTTTCCATGACTAGTTTTCACAGTTCCAGGGTTTTTTTACTAACTTTTGACTGCGTTTCTCTATCTTCTCCCTTTCTGCACTCCCCTCCCTGCTCCCCCAGACCTCGCAGTGTTCAAGGAGCGGCTGAGAGTGTTAACAGTAGGAGGTATGCAATTAATGAGCCTTTAACCCTCTGGAGTGCAGGACTCTCTTTGAATAGGTTATTCTGGGGATGAACCGAGCCGGTAAAGTGAATCCGCCTCCTCCATCTCCCACCACTCTTGAGTTTTGTGACATGTTTTTTTATTTTGAATTCATTCTCAAAGTCTTGAGGTAGGTGTGTGGTTAGTGACACTTGGCCCGTAGAAATGCTCAATTTAGAACCTTGCTGGCCTTTTCTGTGCTGTGTGTTTGCATGCCTGGCTTGCTAGAGTACACATTTTGTTGTGAACATTAATTTTATGAGGCCTCAATCTCCCTGATTGGTTCAAGGCTCATAAAAATCCAAGCTGTCTTCTCCTGGTTTTGTTGCAGGGAAATTTTGTCAGCTTATCCCTTGCCTTTACCCCATCCAGTGGTGTTGCTGCCTGTAAATACTGGGCATTGTCAAAGAGCTGGCAGGCTGCAGCAAAGCAGAAGCAAAGATGCTTACAGCCTCGCAAACTCCTTGTAAAATCTGATACTCCCCGAAGTGTGTCAAGAGTCTTCAAAGCAGCATGGCGGAGCAAGCCAAAGCCCTGTGCCACGGGATTGGAAGCCTCAGCAAATTACTGAGGCTTCCCTGAAACCTCCAACAGGCAGTTTGTCTGGGATGCTACCTGCTAATGCTGCCTCTTTCCAGGATTTCTGTTTGAATGGGAACCACAGAGAAGCCCCAGAGACATGGGGACAAACCCTTAGCTCCTGCTGATTCAGTGCTCCCAGGTATGGCTCCGGAGCAGAGCTCCTGGGGGCTGGCTTCATTCCCTCTCTTGGGACTCCAGCATCCAGAGGGGTGATGAGGGCAGGGATGGACAGCAGTGACAGCCAGGAACACATCCACTCCAGGCTGGCTGGGGTGTTCCTTGCCTCTGGAATCACCCCTCAAGGCCGCACAGGGACAAGCCATGGCCAGCCCTGTCATCGTGGAATCGCGGACTGCTTTAGGTTGTAAGGGACCTTAAAGACCACCCAGTTTCATGCTCTGCCATAGGTAGGGACACCTTCCACTCCAAACCCTGTCCAACCTGGCCTTGAACACTTCCAGGGATCGGGCTGTCTACAGCTCATTCTCCATTCCTGACCAGACAGTCAGGGATAGACTCTTTTGAAGTTCAAAGAGGGACAGCTCAGGAGGGGCCAATTTTTGCCTCCCATTGCCCAGAGGAAGGTGGGTTACACTGTCCTACAGTGTTTAGGCAGTGGTGTTCCCCGTCCCCTCCCTAAAAGAGCCTCCAGCTGAGGTCCTGGGCTGGTTTGGAAGGTGCTGGGAGGAGTGGTGGTAACTACCTTTTCTGCAGCTCCTGCCCTGGGTTAGGAGACAGCTTGGGACTTGGCTTTGTTGGGAGTTTGGGAGGGATGAGCAGGAGCCCAAGGGACGTGCTGGGGCTCTGAACAGGCCATGGGCAGCTCTGCTTGTCCACTCTTTCATCCGAGCTCCTGCTTCAGAAGGGTCCTGGGACTCCCCAGTTCCTGGCTCTGCTTCTGCCTTGCTGCACTGGTTCAGCGAGGTCACTGTCCCTTCTCCTCTGTGCCTCCGTTTCCCCAAAGACAACCGTGAGTGGTGATGAGGCACCTCCGATGGCTTTGGGGCATGGCAGGGCTCACCTGCAGCTCTAAATCCCAACCTCCAGCTCTGAGCCCTGCTCGGCCCCTCTCCAGGCCCAACCCAGCTCCCGACAGCTGCCATGCTGCAAGTAGGAGCTGCCCCTGAACCATCAGCTGCCATCAGCTGCTGCCATCAGCACCAGAGGGAAGGGGTTTGCTGAGCAGAGCTAGGCAAAAGCTCTAATTCTAAGGTTGTTATTTGGGCTGAGGGGATGCCTGGGCAGCCAAACCCCTGAGGGGCTGCTGGCCGCCTTGCTCGGCTGAGCTATTCAGGAGAGTCCATCATCAGAGCCCTGATGCCTTTTTTCTTTCTTGGTCCTCTGTTTCTCCTTCTGTGGGGTTTTCTCTGTTTTAACTGTTTCCTTCTCTGTGTTGACTCTCCATTTTTAATTCCCACCATGTGCTGGCACCTCCGGTGCGCTCGGTGACTCCTCAATTCCTCTGTTTCTTTTCTCTCCCCTCTGTTAAAATTTGTGGTGTATTTTTTGTGTTCCTGGGGCTCCCTGACTCACCCTGGATTTTAATTGCCCATTTCCATGCATATACATTGCTTTGTGGTTCGTTTCCTGCGGTGCCTCTATAATAATTCATTGTTCTATGCTTAATCTCTTTTTGTTTAATTACGGCTTGGTTTTTATCCATATAAACCTCCTTCATGCTTATTATTTTTTTTATGCTGCTTTCTTTTGTCCCTTCCCCACCTCTTCCTAATGCACCCGGTCCCCATGTGACGGTGTCCTGGTCCCTTTTCCTTCTCTCTCTTGCTTGTCCCACCCGTGACAAATCCTGCAGGCTTTTACGGGCTGGATGAATCTGACCTTGACAAGGTTTTCCACTTGCCCACAACCACATTCATCGGTGGAAATGAATCGGCTCTTCCACTCCGGGAAATCATCCGTCGGCTGGAGGTGAGGAGAGTGGAAGTCTGTGCTAGACCTGTGTGCAGCCTGGGGTGGGGCAGAGCAGTTGCCTTTGGAAGGTCCTGGGCCAGCCTTCAGATTTTAAGATTTTCAGTTTGGGAATTGCTTCTCAGCTCTTGCCCCACTCATGGGAGCCACCCTGAGTTACCTGCTCAGCTCTGATCACCTCCAGCTTCCTGCTGCATTGCAGCAACATGCTTGGTCTGCCCAAGGTAGAGCAAACCTCAGGCAACTGGGTATTGCGTTTTTGGAAACCTCTCTAGCTGTACTTTCCAGTTTGAAGCAGTAGCCGGTGCTGGAAGAGCACAGAAGCAGGCTGGAGGCCAGTGATCCCCTCTTCAGGTGCTGCAGCAGTGCTGCTGTCCTGTGTGGGGATCCTTCAGAGGGTGCAGGTTTGAGACCCCTGGGGCTGGGCTTCCAGCTTGTGCAGCTGGTTCCATTTTCGTGCCAGATTTCATCCCCTCCTATGCCTGGACTGAGCGCAGGTGGCTCTCAGGCATGCTGAAGTCTGCTCAGATGGTCTCTGCCAAGACAGGTTGACCTTGGAAGAAGCAAAACTGTGCCAACACTTTAGTTCAGCTGCAGGAATGGGCTCTTCATGTGTCAGGGGAGGTTTTTCTGCTGATTCTCCCCTGTCCTCTAAGGTGGGATTTTGGACTGCTCACAGGTGATGCCACCAAGAGGGAAAATCTCCTCTTTGAGGTGGATAAAAAGGAATTGAGGGGCTGATTGTGGGCCCCTCGGAGAAGGAAAATTAAACATCTTGATGCTGGGTCATGTGCAGGGTCCAAGCTGCCTTACAGTATCCTGGAACATCCCCTTTCCTGGGAAAACAATTCAAACAAGGCTCTTAAAGCAGGGCTGTTGTGGGGCTGGCAGCTGGGGTCCCCCTAGGGCTCCCCTCCACCTGCTGGGCATGAGGAACCATGTCTCTGCTGACATAGGAGGGCTCTTTGGCTGAAAGGATAAAGGGGGAAATGAGTAGCTCCTGGTCCTGTGATCCAATGGGGGCTTGAGGTGCTGAAGCCCTGGTTGTTCTCCCACGGCCACTCTTTTCTTGTCGGAGCAGATGGCATACTGCCAGCACATCGGCGTGGAGTTCATGTTCATCAATGACCTGGAGCAGTGCCAGTGGATCCGGCAGAAGTTTGAGACCCCAGGCATCATGCAGTTCACCAACGAAGAGAAGCGCACGCTGCTGGCCAGGCTGGTCCGCTCTACCAGGTACCCCGGGGGGGCTTCCCTTTATCTGCCTGGGGAGGTTTGCTCCCAGCTCTAGTGACACAGTCACCAGCTGAGTCACATCTTGACATCATCTGTCGTCATCAGCTTAATGAGCAGGGTGTCGCCAGTAAGCTGCTGGCCTGGCAGGCTCAGGTGCTGGCAAACCGCCTGAAAATGTGGATGGTCCTGACAGAAATGGTTTAAACATAAAGTGCAGCAGGGTATAGGGACGGGGGGAGTGGCCAGCCAGCTCTGTGGGAGGATACTGGAGTGATTGGGAAGGCTGTTATGTGCTGCATGGTGCCAGTTTGAGTATCATTTGATGCTCTGCCTCCCTCAGTTCCATCCATATCCTTCCTCTGGTTTCTGCCCTCAGCTGTAGCCCTGGCACTGATCCCTCTTTCCCTTTGCCTTCCAGGTTTGAGGAGTTCCTCCATCGGAAATGGTCTTCAGAGAAGCGTTTTGGTCTGGAGGGATGCGAAGTGCTGATCCCAGCTTTAAAGACCATTATTGATAAGTCGAGTGAGAAGGGAGTGGATTATGTGATCATGGGGATGCCCCACAGGTAACCTTGCCTCAAACCATGGTGCTGCTTGGCGTGGGTGGGACACAGGGGGATGCTGCATGTTGCCGGGGTTTGGTGCTGGAGGGCACACTGGTTTCTGCCGTCACCCAGCTGGTCTTGGTTGGTGATGAACCTCGGCTGAAGAGCTCAGGCTTTAGCTGTTCTCTGTTTGTCATGATCTTTCCAACTTGTTTGTAAATTCATCTGGAGAGGGGTGGTGGCTTGAGGGCAGAGCTGGAATCCTACTGGAATCCCAGCACCTGCCTGCTCTGGGGCAGCTCAACAGGAATGTGGGATGTGGGGGCAGCCAAACCGTCCCTGTGCTGAGGACAGCCAAACCATCCCTGCAGGATCCTTTTAGGGAGCCCTCATTCCTAGGTGACCCTACAGCTGTCACAGGAGGTGTGCCAGGAGGGTAGCAGGTAACCATCAGTATTTGATGGCTGCCAGCAACGGTCTTGCTTTTGCAGGGGACGCCTGAATGTTCTTGCCAACGTGATCAGGAAAGAGCTGGAGCAGATCTTCTGCCAGTTTGACTCCAAGCTGGAGGCTGCTGATGAGGTGAGCTCCTCCCCTGCCTGCAGCAGCTACTGCTGCCTGTCCCTGCACAGTCCCCAGGGGCTGTGGCTGTATTATGCCACTGCTTCTGGTGTCACTCGGTGGCATTGGTGTTGTAAGTATTTCCACGTTGCAAGCACACACAGACAATTGGAGCCTTTGTGTAGGTGCCAGTGCTGGTCTGTCCTTGCCTGTCCTGGGGTTGGTTGATGCCCTGGCCACTGCCAGTGTCTCCAGCAAAGACATGCTGTTGGTGGCTCTCCAGGGCATGAAGAAGCCTTGGGGTGGATGCTGAGGTGAGGGGAAGGGGGCTGGGAGCAGAAGTTGGTTTGTTCTCTTGCAGCAGTCTCTGGTCCCTGTCTGGGGCTCTAAAGCAGCTCCAAAAGCGCTGAGTTCCAAATTGCTTGTGCCGCAGGCTCTGTCTCTGCGATGCACTCGTGATCCAAAGGTTCAGCATGATAACCTGGGATGGTTTGGCTTTTGGGAAGCTGGGCTGGGCTGGGCAGGCTTGATCCTGCCATGACCTTCGTTGAGGTTTCAAGGTGAGAAAGCAGCAGCCTGCAGCCTTGAGATGCCCTGATAGGGAACCTGGCAGTGCATTGGGAACAGTGTTTGCAGAGCTTAGGTGAGTGTTACCTGTTCTCCAGCATCTTCCCCCAACCTACCACACTTGCTTCATCCCCTATACCTTCAGCTGTACCTAGATGGGCTGGATGCATGTCTGAAATTGGTGGTGGTTTGGCATCTGGGAGAGACTTTTCTGGGTGCCAGGTCAGCTCCAGCAGTGAGTGTCTGCTGTGTTCTGCCAGCGCCTCCGAAAAATGCCCCTCTCTTCCAGCCTTGGAATCAACACTGCCCTATCTCAGGTCTCCTTCCACGTCCCAAAAGCTGCTCATGCTCCCGGGGGTAACTCTCCTCTCCCCTCCATCAGGGCTCTGGTGACGTGAAGTACCACTTGGGAATGTACCACCGGCGGATTAACCGTGTCACTGACAGGAACATCACCCTTTCTTTGGTGGCAAATCCTTCTCATTTGGAGGCAGCTGATCCTGTTGTTCAAGGCAAGACTAAGGCAGAGCAGTTTTACTGTGGGGACACAGAGGGGAAGAAGGTGAGTGGTGCTAAGACACATATGCAGTGAAATGTCCTGGGCTGGATGGGGTTTGATGTGGATAGGCTGTTGGGAAAGTGAAGAAACCTGGCTGTTTTTTGTTTGCTGTGCCCCTGCTGTCACCCTGACTTTGCTCCCCCATCCTTCCCCACTGACTGTGGAGATAACTTTGGGAGGGGCTTATCCACCCTAGGCTCCCATTGCTGCTTCCTCCATCTCTGAACTGACTAAGCTGGGCTGTGGGTGCAGCAGATGCACAAACCCCTGCCTGGAAAGCAGAGAAATGAGGGGCACTCCCAAAAGGCAATCTGAGCACCACAGCTTGGGGGACACGGCAGTAGGATCTCAGTGTAAGCAGGGAGAACCATTCCTGGGTCTGGGAAAGCTGGAGCTGGCAGGAGGCAGCTCTCCACACCCTGGTGGGGAAAGGGCTGTGGGGGGCTGTTTGCCATCTGATTCATCACAAACCTGTTTCTCAACACCAAGAAGTGGAAGGGTGAGATCCAAAGTGCTTCCCTCCATCCTACACCCCAAGGGCTGGATATAAATAGACAGACCCTGTCCTTGCCTGGCAAGTGGTGTCCTCAGCCAGCCCCTGGGACGGCGGTAAAATAACATCGCTGGCGCTGCAGCCAGCTCCTGTCCCCACTTCTGCCCACGGGGCTTCTGGGCTGAAAGCGTGGGGTAAAAGGGTGTTATTCTCTTCTTGCTGCAGTGAGAAAAAGGCTTTGCTTTGAGGGGGGTGTGTTTGGAAATGGGACTCACTGCCCAGCTGGGGTGTACTGGGTGTCGTCCTACTGCCTGCTCAGGGTGCCCCAAGGGTGCTATCCTTGCTGGGAGGGGGCTGGTGGCCACAGCCTTTCCCCAATGGTGTGCCAGCCATGGCTGGCTCCGCTCGCAGCTCCTGGGAAAGCATTGGATGTGTCCTTTCTGGGATGCTGAAGGTTCGTGGGGATGAGAGCTGGACCCTTTCCTGGTGGTGCCCTGCCTGCTGTCCCTGCTGACCACCATGGCTTCCCCTCTCCCAGGTGATGTCCATTCTCCTGCATGGAGATGCTGCATTTGCTGGACAGGGCATCGTGTACGAGACATTTCACCTGAGTGACCTGCCCTCCTATACCACCCACGGCACTGTCCATGTCGTGGTCAACAACCAGGTGAGGAGCAAATCCTCTGTGCCCATGGGTCCCTGGCAGAGCCGCCTCCACAGGCTCTGGGCTGGGTGGTAGCTGGAACCGGTAGCACCTGTTTCCCTGCCAGTGTTCCTGGCAGGAGCCCTAACCTGGCGTCAGCAGGGGGTGCCTCCCACCCAGCTGCTCCACAGCAGCAGCTTTTGAGCCCAGTCTGGTGCAGACGTGATAAAACCTGATGCTCAGTGTGCGACATCACACAGGCGTGATCCCTTCTGCCCCCATGGAAACCAGAGGCATTTCACTGGGACCAGCCTGTCCCTGCATGTGCAGTAGGTACTGGGATGTGCCTGGGTGCAGGAGATGGGCAGGTTGTGCGTCCCCAGCTCAGCCACAGCAGCTGAGCTGCCCTTGGAGCTACGTGGGCACTTTCCTGAGCTGGCGAAGTGCAGCTGCCTTGTGCCAAGCCAACTGTGACGTCGGTGTCTAAAGAAGGAGCTGCACAGCAGAGCTGTGTTCCAAATCCAGTTGGTAACACTGTGCTCATCCTGTTCCCTCTCACCCTCTACAGATTGGCTTCACGACAGACCCCCGGATGGCCCGGTCCTCCCCGTACCCGACCGACGTTGCCCGCGTGGTCAACGCGCCCATCTTCCACGTCAACGCAGATGACCCCGAGGCCGTTGTCTACGTGTGCAATGTGGCAGCAGAGTGGCGAAGCACCTTCCACAAGGACGTGGTGGTGGATTTGGTAAGGAACGTGGCACAAGACTTTACCCCGAAGCTGGGACTGTGGTGGGAATGCACTTGGGTCCCTCCTGGGCTGTTCTGGACCCTCCCTAACACAGATGCAGGTAGCTCCGAGTGCTTTTGGAGTGGTAGGTTGCAGGCAGCTGCGTTCAAAGGCTCTTTCCCTTCCTGGCAGGTTTGTTACAGGCGCAACGGGCACAATGAGATGGACGAACCCATGTTCACGCAGCCCCTGATGTACAAACAGATCCGGAAACAGAAGCCAGTGCTGCAGAAATACGCAGAGCTGCTGATTTCCCAGGGGGTGGTAAATCAGCCAGAGTATGAGGTACTGTGCCATGTGGCCTGACAGGAAAACTGAAGGTGGCATCTCCAGGGAGAATTACTTGTGTGATTCAGACCTGGATGTGAATGAAGTGATGTGAGCCCTTTTCTGCTTGTGCTTGTCACCTAAAGGTGGCAGAGTTGTGCTGGAGTTGGGTGAGTGCTGCAGACCTTGCAGCAACAGAGGTCGAAGCCGAGGCTCATCCTTGGACTGTGCCGGCTCTGAACAGCACAGGAACATCTAATTCAAGGATCGCCCCGTGATCACTGTGGCACAGGCCACGCAGTGCTGGGCCACTGCAGCACAGCCAGGTCCCAGTGCTCAGGATTGCTGTGGCCAGGGGTATCTGAGGCAAGTTCATGCCCCAGTTCTGCTGCTTGGGCAGCAGCATGCATGGCAGCAGTTCTGTCGGTCCTGCTTGCCCCAGGACTGCTTTGCAGCATCACTAGGGTTGAACACAAGTTGTCAGCTCAGAGAGCAGCTGGGCTGTCCCTCAGGGGACAGGGGTCCAAGGGGCAGCTCTGCTCTCTGAGGCTGAGCAGCATGGCCCTGGGGCTCCCCTGCTGTGGGGACCACCTCTTCCCCCATCACCCTTGCAAGCATGCACCGAAGCCCCCAGGCTCAGCACCGTTGTTTGGAGACCCTCCACTAATGTTTTTCCTCCTCCTGGTTCTGCCTTTCAGGAGGAAATTGCCAAGTATGATAAGATCTGCGAGGAGGCCCATGCTAGGTCCAAGGATGAGAAGATCTTGCACATCAAGCACTGGCTGGACTCGCCCTGGCCAGGTAAGCTGCTGGCAGCATTTTGGAGGTCCCTAGCAAAGCCCCCAGCCTCTCTGGAGCCGTGGCAGCGATTTTGTAGTATATCACACTGGAGGGGAAGTGGGGTGGTGCTGTCTCCACTCCTGGCATCCCGACCTTTGCTTGAGGGTGTCCGTGACCTGAGCTCTTCCCATGGAGCTGGCACAGCTCCTTCAGCATGGTGACTTTTCTTCTCCCCCAGGTTTCTTCACTTTGGATGGGCAGCCCCGGAGCATGACCTGTCCATCCACTGGCCTCAATGAAGAGGACCTAACGCACATTGGTCAAGTGGCCAGCTCAGTGCCAGTGGAGGATTTCACTATCCATGGAGGTAGGAGCCTGTGGAAGCTGTGCCATTTGTTCCAGAGAGATGTGGGATAGGGCTGGGATGTGGCCTGGACGTAAGGGACCTATTGCACTGCTTCAGTATGTGTGGGCAGCAGGTCTGGGGAGGGGATCATTCCCCTCTACTCTGCACTCCTGAGACCCCACCTGGAGCACACATCCAGCTCTGGGGCCCCCCTCACAAGCAAGATCTGGACCTGTTAGAGCAGCTCCAGAGGAGGCCTTGAAAATGATTCCAAGGCTGGAGCCCTTCTCCTGTGCAGGAACTCCAAGAGAGTTAGGGGTGTCCAGCCTGGAGGAGTGAAGACTCCAGGGAGATCCTTTAGGATCCAGTGCCTAAAGGGGCTCCAAGAGAGCTGAGAGGGACTTTGGACAAGGGCCTCGAGCGACGGGACGAGGGGGAATGGCTTCACACTGACAGGCAGGGTTAGGTGGGATATTGGGAAGAAATTCTCCCATGTGAGAGTGGTGAGGCCCTGGCACAGGTTGCCCAGAGAAGCTGGGGCTGGCCCATCCCTGGAAGTGTTCAAGGCCAAGCTGGACAGGGCTTGGAGCAACCTGTTCTAGTGGAAGGTGTCCCTGCCCATTGCAAGGGTTAGACTGCATGATCTTTAAGGTCCCTTCCCACCCAGACTCTGTGAGGCTATGAGAACTTGTTCATGAGGGAGCTGTGGGTAAGGGAAGTGAACCAAGGAGTAACTCTTCTTTGGAGCTGATCCTTCCCTGCAGTCCTGATTCCTCATCTGCAGGTCATCCCTCCATCTGCCCTGGTCACTTGCAGTCTGTCAGTCCTCCGCCAGTTGTGGGACAAACCTGGTGTCACTGCAGCTCCCTCCCATGCTGGCTACCAACCAGCTCCTGTTCCGGCAGGTTTGAGCCGTATTCTGAAAACCCGTGGGGAGATGGTGAAGAACCGGACAGTCGACTGGGCTCTGGCAGAGTACATGGCATTTGGCTCCCTGCTTAAAGAGGGCATCCACATCCGCCTGAGCGGCCAGGACGTTGAGAGGGGGACATTTAGGTAAAGCCCTGCTTTTGGAGGCTTTAAAGGCAATTCCAGCCCTTCTGGAAGGGATCCAAAGGCTGATGATGGAGTAACACTTTCCCAATTTCTAGCCATCGCCACCATGTCCTGCACGATCAGAACGTGGACAAGAGGACCTGTATCCCCATGAACCACCTCTGGCCCAACCAGGCTCCGTACACTGTCTGCAACAGCTCCCTGTCAGAGTATGGTGTCCTGGGTGAGTGAGGGGGTCTGCACTTGCTGCCCAGGGTGAGGCTGCTCTGAGAGGGTAATTCAACCCCCTTGCTCCTCTAAACTGAGATTAGCTCAGTTGGTTAGAGCATGGTGCTAATGCCAAGGTCACAGATTTGATCCCTGTAGAGGCCATTCACTTAAGAGTTGGACTCAATGATCCATGTGGGTCCCTTCCAACTCAGAATACTCTGTGACTCTCCCATCCCTCAGGATTCGAACTGGGCTTTGCCATGGCCAGTCCCAACGCCCTGGTGCTTTGGGAAGCCCAGTTCGGGGATTTCCACAACACTGCTCAGTGCATCATCGACCAGTTCATCTGTCCTGGGCAGGCCAAGTGGGTCAGGCAGAACGGCATCGTCTTGCTGCTTCCCCATGGCATGGAGGGCATGGTAAGGACTCCCCCAGCTCACACTGGAGGCTGAGCCATGGGCAGTGGTGGCACAGAACACTGCTCATGTCATGGCAGCGCCTGGCATTGGCTTCTTGTGCCTGCCTTGTCCTGCACTCACTGTCCCCCTGCTTGGTCCCTGTAGGGTCCCGAGCACTCCTCTGCTCGCCCGGAGCGATTCCTGCAGATGTGCAATGATGATCCCGATGTCTTCCCTGTGAGTGGCGGCCGCGCAGAGCTCAGCCTGGCCCTCCCGCGCCCTGGATCAGGGCAGCAATACCCACGTGGTCTTAGCACAGTGGTTGCCGATGGCAGGAGGCGTGGGACGCCCTGGGCTCATGCTGCCAGGAGGGTTTAGGGAAAGGGGCTGAACCTGGTTCCCAGGTGTTCATTGAACCTGGGGCTGTAGCACAGTGCAAGGCAGAGGTGGCCCTGAAAGTAGCATGGGCGAGGGTTGCTGGCTGCCCCATGGCCAGACCAAGGTGGGGGGCACAGCCCTGCAGCCTCTCCCAGGTCTCTATAGGTCTGTGTGTGCTTTGGAAAGGGAAAGAGGGAAGGAGAGAGGGAGGGAGGGAGGACTGGGGACCACTGCTGGAGCCATGAGATCAAGAGGCACCTTGTGTTTCCTGAAATCCCCTCACCTGCGCTGGCCGAGGCAGAAGCTGGATGACTTTGATGTGCGCCAGCTCTATGAGTGCAACTGGATCGTTGTGAACTGCTCCACTCCAGCCAACTTCTTCCACGTCCTCCGGCGCCAGATCCTCCTGCCCTTCCGCAAACCGGTCAGTGCCAGCAGCTCTGTGCCCGGCTCGGTGCCCAGGCAGGGCAGTGCTGTGTCCCTGCCAGGCTGAGAAAGGGCTGGGGGCAGATTGTTTCTGGACCTCACAAACATGGGCGGTTGGCCTCTGTCTGGCCCAGGACCTCATGGTACCACGTGCTGCTGCCGGCTCATGTGAGCTGCAGGGGCTGTGACCCCTTCCTGGACTCCACAGGGATGTCAGAGCTGTCAGGGCTGGCAGGCACCAGTACATAACCCAATCCAGCTGCTTCCCATCAGCTTCAGCTGTGGGGCAGGCAGGCCCCCAGCAGCACCTCGGCATCCTCCCCATTGGACACCCTGACTGGAACAGCCAGTGCTGTCAGGAAACAGTGCCCAATATGGGAGAGCACAGCAGCTGAGCGAGAAGCAAATCTCTGGCAGCTGCTCCTGTGCTCAGGCAGGACAGGCAGGGGAGGGCAGGCAGGGTGGGCAGGGGAGGTAAGGGAGGGCAGGCAGGACAGGCAGGTTGCTGCTCTGGCCTTGGCTCGCAGGGAAGGTGTTTCTGGCGGGGCTGACCAACTTGCTCTGCCTCTTGTCCCCTACTCCAGCTGATAATCTTCACTCCAAAGTCACTGCTGCGCCACCCTGAAGCCCGCTCAAGCTTTGACGACATGCTGCCAGGTACGAGCAGCACAGAGCTGCCTGTGTTCCCCCTACGCTGCTCCATGGGGTGAAGGGCAGGAGCCAGTGGCCTCGGGTAAAGTCCACCTGGCAGCAGCCTCTTCATGCTGAAGAGGGGCCAAGCAAGGCCATGGCCATCTCCCTTGCACACGGGACCCACTCCTCATCAGGGCCAAGACTGGTACCCTGGCACCTGGGGAGACATGGCTCAGTGACACTTCCTCCATTGGTAGCCACTGCCCTCTGGAATTTGGCAGCTCCAAGTGGCACAGAACCATAATGGTTTGTGCTGGGAGCTGGCCGAGTACCAGCTGCTGGACTCTGCCTCTTGGGGTCCCAGGAGAGGCTGGCATGGGATTCAGGTGCAGCAGCTGCTGGCACTGTGCCATTGGCCACTGTGGCTTACAGCGCCCTTCTCTTCCTTGGCAGGCACCCACTTCCTCCGTGTCATCCCTGATAGTGGCCCCGCGGCCCAGAATCCTGAGCAGGTGAAGCGGGTGCTCTTCTGCACTGGCAAGGTGTACTATGACCTGACCCGGGAGCGCAAGGCCCGGCAGATGGAGGCCGACGTGGCCATCACCAGGGTGGAGCAGGTAAGCAGGGTCCTGCCATCTCTGTGCCCGTAGGCTGGGGCTGCTGCAGCCCCTGTGATGCTGCTCCATGTCCCTCATGATGCCACTCTGTGTCCCCTGCAGCTCTCCCCGTTCCCCTTTGACCTCCTCCAGAAGGAAGCCCAGAAATACCCATCTGCTGAACTGGTGTGGTGCCAGGAGGAGCACAAGAACCAGGGCTACTACGACTATGTCAAACCCCGGCTCCGCACCACCATCAACCGTGCCAAGCCCGTCTGGTAGGCATGCAGTGGGTGGTTGTGAGGCTGGGAGGAGTTCGGGGGGTGCAGATCCCTCTCACCCTCACCTTCTCCCTGGCAGGTATGCAGGGCGGGAGCCAGCGGCAGCCCCTGCCACCGGCAATAAAAAAACCCACCTGACGGAGCTGCAGCGGCTCCTTGACACGGCCTTCAACCTCGATGCCTTCAAAGACCTGGCCTGAGCCCCGGCGTCGCACAGCATGCTCCTCCATCTCTCTATCTGTTTGTCTGTCCCTTGCTCGCCTCCCCCACCCCTGGAACTACAGACCTTGTCAACCCCATGCTGGTGCCTGGACTCCTTGTCTGCCTCGTGCCAGGGTGACACCGGTGCAGTCACCCTGGGAGTGAAAGGGGCTTGGGGCTGTCCCGCCACAGTGGGTGAGGCCCACACCCCCCTGGGACCTTAGGAAGAACTAATCCCTGAGGCTCTTCTCTGGGTGGGTCCAGTGCAATGAGTCCAGTTCCTCCCAGTCTGGTGTCACACTTGCCCCTGCAGCTGCTGCCTCTTGGAGGAGCGATTTGGGGTGGCTGCCTGACCTAAGGGCCCACGCAGGTGTGGGGGTGTTGGTTGAGCACCAACCCCTGGCTCTGAGCCCCTGCACCCACAG